ACAACATCAATTCCAGTTGAAGGGTATCCCTTATTGAACACAATGCCTTGATAGTAATTGTACGTCCATCATTTTAACAGAGTTAATATTCYTAATGCTCAAATGACACAATTTTTCAAAAAATATCTAAATATTTTCCGTAATACTGCACATAGAGTTGGGGCTCCTGTGGAGTTCAGGCTCTACACGTTGTCAGTTTGGGACGCCTGTTGCTTTATGTGATTCTTGTCGGAGGCCAAAGGGACCAAATGTACAACTTTGTACACGGGAAGTTAATACTGAGAAGCAGACCGCAGAATCAAGTTAACATTTAAGTAATCGTTTACTAAGGCGGTAATTTCAAAATACTTAAGAATGCAGCCACGTAATTATATCATTTGGCGCCGAAGACGATGCAGGACGAAGATCCTTGGGCGCTCGAAGAAGTCTTCGGCCAGGATCTTGACTCATCAAAGGCCTGGTATGCCCTATCTAAAGACATATGTGGTATTTCGCCAAAAGACTTTGCGAAGAATTCTGCGTTTSAAACGTTTCCCGGTGAAATTGCAGTTGTGCCTAAGAAAAGTCTCACTGTTTTGAGAAATGGCGCCAAACGTCCWTTCGAAGCTACTCGGTCGGGAGAAYCTTACCAAAGACAGCCCAACATGGTTCACGTGGCCACAACATTCGGTATTTTYATAGGCTTTGTCCGACAAAGGGATTTTCCCAGGAATGACTTCCACAAGTCGAACATATTCAAGTCTGTGTTTGACTACATAAGCGGTCTGCGCTTCGCCATATCGGGGTGTGCAGGTGAGGGGAAGCCTGCAACGTCGTCTACATCGACTAMTTTCTCATCAGTACCTTCATGTACATCAAGTGAGACAAAAACATCTCCACAAAGAGATTGTGAAATCAATACTAGCTTAAATGACATTAAATCAGGATCTTTGGGTCCGAGGAAAAAAATTAAAGCGATCTCAGCTAAGTGTTCAAGTGTAATGGAACTTCTAAGTGACGTGACAGAGAAGTATAAAGAGTCACTGGGTTCTGTTATGAGCAACACTCTGATATACGGCAGTGAAACCGAAAGGGATACAATCCAAGCAGCCCTTTCCGAAATTGCTGATCTGGTSTTGGATAATGGAAAACCTCTTGCCGAGATGTTTACCAGTGAGACCTATTCAAATATATTATCAACTATGAAAGTACCAGATTGGGCCCTCCTCTACTTTAAAATCCAGGCAAAGATACCCGATTCAGCCTGGCAAACGCTTTTGAACATAACACATCTTGGAAAGAGTGGGGTAGGTTAAATGCTTGTAATCATATGAAATGATTGATATATATTCATGAGTCTCACTATATCTATGCATGCATTTGCTAACTGGTTTTCATTACTAATACTGTAATTGCTTTTGAAAAAAACAAGAAACCGAGTATAAATAAAGGTCAAGTAGGCAAATCCAGTATCTATATATACACGCCTCTGGTTAACTAGTACCTCCACACTGCTTTTTTGACATATATATAGTATATTATATATAGTTACTGTAGTACATTATACATGTACACCAAAACACAAAAATTCTGCTCCCTAATATATATGTTGGACATAAATATATCCTTTGTTATAGCCTTTGTTTTAACATCCCACGGGAGAGAATACAAAAGATATATTATTATATAGTATTAGGGAGCAGAATTTTTCTGTTTTGTGAAGAAAATTGTTATATTATATATATATATAGTGTTCAGGAGAATGCCAGCTCTACTTTGTATCGAGCACTCTTGGTCCAAGTTTATCAATTATTACACAGTCGATAGTATATTATATATATAAATATTATRATAAAATGAATGTATTCTCAAGTATTTAATGTACTCTTGTGCCTTTCAGAGAAAGGATGATACTCCCTTACTATTGACAAAGAATCAAATTAAGGCTATCAGAGGGATGGTGTTCAGAGTTGTGCGAAACATGTACAATGTTCAACGAATGGACACTGAATTTGATGCATTCTCTATAGACCTGGAGTCAGCTTTGGTGTGGGCTATCAGGGAGCAAAGGTTATACTGTGGAGACACGCCTGATATGGAGTTCAACATCAAATTAGATGRTAGACCCTTAGGAGGTGATGATTTCATTGTTCATTTATTTTTTAATGATAATATGTTGTAATGATATGTTGTATTACAATTAATGCTAGATAATTAGAGAATTAAGGATAGCTCTTTATTTAGTAACTAGATATTCTTTAAAATTGTGTTGGAATGTATTTAGATTGTAAATCATGTAATGTAATTATATATWTTTTTTTGTGATGACATTATTTTTAGGAAGAAATCAAGTTGCTGTTGGTATTGTGCCAATGCATGTTAAAARAAAGAGCTCTGAGAGTAGCCTTTCTGTTTACCCAGTTGCAATAGCAAACTGCAAGGAAGATCGGTATGCAAAAGCAAACTTTGACTMTATCTATTGATAATATGATTTACAGTTCTATTTAAAGAATTAAATGTGTAAAAATGAAACTAATGGCGATCATTATGATTTATAGTAATAACTTCAAGGCTCTTCTTTCTGTGTTGAATGCCCAGAAAAGGCACATTAACAAGCATGGTATAATTGTGGATGGGCGTCAATACAAAATAAGATTTACAGGTTTGTTTTGAATATTTACATGGTTTAATTATGGTGTATTCAAATGGGATGATCTTGAATCTACTACGTTGAACATGAAAAGTTATCTATAGTATATAAATGTTACATCTTGCCTGATGAGTGCGCAAGCACGAAACTCAGAGTTGCAGCGAATCACGTTCCTTTTTATCTAAACACTACAATTAAATGTATCTTGTGTATAGTTAATTTCGCATTCTCCTAGCAAATTTATCTAACTTAGGAAGTGGTCAAGATATGATATTATAAATCTTCCATGCTATAGGCATATGGATGGATACTTGGCTTTGTTTTTACTTACATATCTATGGATATCATTGTATTGTTTTATATTCTGTATATTGTGCAGCTACAATGGATTATAAAGCACTCCTACTCCTTCTAGCCAAAAAAAAAGACATAGACTTTGTTCTTGGAGGAAAAGGTTTCTCYTGTGAATTCTGTGCTTTTTGTGATGCCGTAAGGGTAGGTATAATAGAAATACCACAAAACACTGAGATTGAGCCTTCATTCTAAAACTTAGGCATATTATGATTTTTKGGGTAGTGTTTTTAAACATTGCTTTGATTATATTTTATTGTGAATATTTACAATCAACTGATTTTTAAATGATATTACACTCTAATCAACATACTGTGTTTGCAGTAATTTTCTCAAACTTTTGTTTGTTATTATTCCCAGGCATGTACAGATCATGGAGCTGATGCTGATGAAACATGCATTACTTGTTTAAAGTCAAAAGCACAAATAGGAAGGTATACAATTTGGTATGACATTTCTRGACAAAGTGCTAGACTAAATTGCTTATATCAATCTGTGCATTCAAAAAAAAAACATGTCTTACAACTAACAACCTTAAAATAATGATAATCCTGAACAACAACTAACAACAGATGTTGGTATTTCTTTTTTTTAGGTGTACAGGACTACGCGATGATTTAGAATTCTTGTTAGAAGAAGATCTAAGCTCAATTAATCTCTGTTCACTCCATTGTGAGCTTCGCAATACAGAACAGCTRTTGGGTACATTAGGATTCCAAGCTTATAAGATTGGCACTCTGGACAGACTGAATGATGCTCTTTCAAGTTATGGACCAGAAAAAGACAGAAACTTCAATAGGATTACTATAAAAGAGAGGAAGGGCAAGCAGACAGAGATTTCAAAATCAGACATTAAAGTCGCTTCTTTCTCAGGTTTGTTTGACCAAAGAGGTGTACATTATTGGGTTGTTTCAAGATGATCTCAGAGGCAACAGCTATTGATGAGTACTTGCTTTTTCCTTAAAAAATATTTAATTTACCAATATGACAGAGAACCATAACGAATACATTGTAAAATTAATTATCAAAATTATTGTAATAGTAATAATGGTTTCATTGTTGCACTTTACAGGAAATACTGAAAGGGAAATTTTGAAAAATTTTGAGGCTATTGTGGCAGTAGCTCTTCCCYTGGAATCCTATGCTAATTACTATATGCAATGTGAGGGATCAGCAGCTGAGGAAGTAATGAATCACTTGACCTTTTATGAAGAAAGGATCAATGTAAGTATTAAAATGATCTGTTTATAAGTGAGATTTTACTTATGCAAAATATTTTGAAACAATTGAAATTTCACTTTGAGAAATGTAGATCCACTGGGCAGGAACAACAAGTCAAGGATAGGGGAAACTTAAACATAGCTAACTATGTTTAAAACTATCAATACTAATTGTTTAAGTTGAACATGTATTGACCGCCTTATACCAATTAAATCAATCTTGAGTTGATGCCCCTCATATCATATTAACTTCACTGCAAGTTTACAAGGGTAAACAGTGTAAACAATAAATATATTATTTATATATATAATTYATAAATATGATTTCATTAACAGAATCTCAACACCAAATTGGAAAGAAATGCAATAGAGAGAGATTTTGGAACCCACCAGGAAAGTGTTGTTATGGGTCCAGGTACTGTGACTTATTTGTGAAAAGTTATTCCTCTAGTTCTGCAATTATGTGATACTGGGATAATGTTTTTGAGCATGACCGCTAATTCATAAGAAAAAGAGTTCTTATTATGAAGTTTCAATATTTGAGGATGTCATAAGAAATACTTTATACATATTAAGCAAAAACCCCTTTTTTTGATTAAACATGCATTTTATTATTAAATTCAGAGCTAAACCATGAAAATATGATATAGTCATGCATCTTTTCAGCTGTTAAAGATTTTATAAGAGACAGTGGATTTGTTTCAACAAAAAAAATTGTCTTTGGCTWCGCGTTTTGCCAATGCTAATGCTGAAGTTCAAGCGGATCTAGAGCCTCCTACAAAAAAAAGGAAATCACGAGGGAAGAAACAAACAATTAAAGGAAACAACACAACATCTTCAGAATTCCTAGCAGCAGAAATATCTTTGGATCTTTTTAAACAGGTAATTTATTGCATATCAATGAAAACCTGCAACCAAACAGACAAAACAGGCAACCATTAGCATTCTAGTGTCAAAATGACAACCATTATACTTGTTTAGCATTGATTACATAAATTAATTATAGCAATAATTATTTTGCTAGGTGTGTGCACAGTGGCGAGACATTGCTGAATGTATGAGAAAAGACACATCTGCTGAACAGAATCATGATGAATTAATTGACATTTTTGATATAAAGGTAATGAAGGAATGCACAATGTTACATTGCTGCCAATTTATTGGAATWAATTAATTGTCTTTTGATTAAATTGGCATGTGATATCGTATCAGCATGATATGATTATTTCATCTGTCAATGCAGTATWATAGTTTAAACTCTATCAGGTTTTACTGTTTTCTGAGTGGTCCATAATATTCAAGTTCAGTTATATTAAATATATTAAMATGATACTGAGATRYACTTTCTTTTTAAAGTGCAAAGAATGGGGCTTCCTTTTGAAGCATCTCTTTGGAGTCCACCTTGGGACAGGCGATTATGGCCATCTGGTGATTGACCATGCTTCAATGCTTTTGAGGCGGTTCAATTCATTCAGRCATTATTCAGGACAAGGTTTTGAATCCAGTCACAAACTACACAGACAACTTTATGCCAGAGCTACAAACCATGATAAATCTAGTCCGGCTCAATCGTGTATGTATAATATTATATATTTTTAATTACAAGCACAAGCACATTTATATTATTGCTATACTCGCTGTGCTGATTTATCTATGGATTTTGTTGATTGTGAAAAATACACTATACTAACAATAATTGTTAAAAATATAYCATGTCTTTTGTTAAAATGAAGAAACTCATTTTTTGGACAACATTATTCATCCTTACAAAATTAATGAAAATTAATGTCGTTATAATTRTAATTACACTAATTTTATCAGGATGAAGGATGCTGTCCATTTTTTTAAGTGCCTTTATTTTAACATTTAGCTGATCAAATTCTAACACACTGGTATGCCACGTATCTGCTTCGTATGCGGTACATGTTTGTAGAAGCCCAAAAGTGCATCAAKTCAGGKACAAAACACAATTATTTATTCCAGATGATTCTTTGCATTTATATCAAACTCTTATTGTTGTTGTACCATGAATTGCTTTTTTAGGTAATAGCAAATTCCACTTCRGAGGGTGTGGTTGGCCACATTCTGAGAGTTTTCCTTGGGATTCTGAGACTACAGAGTGGATAACTCATATGGTTAACTTATTCTGTGCAATATTTGGTGAAGACTACTTGACTTATACCTATGACCCATCAAAAGGTACGAAAGTATCAGACGATGTTACTTGCAAAATTGTCAAGTACAACCACAATGAATGGGAAGAGGAATATTCTCTTAAAGTCCCAGGCAAAAAATACACCAACTGTTTTTTACCACAATCAAACCTGAAGCCTCAGTCATCACCTTTGGATTCAGAATCAGGCAAGATGGAAACGCCCAAACAACACAAGGCTTCACACTCATCCCTTANCAAGTCTACATACACCGCAGCAACACCGCAGCAACCCCCCAAGTGCAAGCCAAAGTCATTGTTTGTCACTAAAAAGATGACTGGTAAGTTGTCTGGCAATGTAAACCCATCACTTCAAATGTCACAGATGACAAGAGKAGAAATTGCTGACCTTGGTAGCAAAATACCAACAGTTGACTGTAGACAGCTGAGACCCAAGTTACAAGTGCTTCATGGCCCATTTCTTGAAACAGATCCMAATTCTTTGCACAGACGGCCAAGATGTAAGATTGTTAATRATGCCATTGATTTGTTTCGAAACCAACGAGTAAACARTCCAACAGGAATTTCAATTGATAGATTTGGTCAATTTAGTTCAGAAGGTTTATCTTTGCTAAAGAAGTTTTCCAACATTTCTGACATGAGAATTAAAGTCTCTGAAGAGCTGTCTTGGCTAGACAACAATAATGACCTTGTCACGGCAAGTGAGAGAGAACAAATTGAAAAAGCCTTATGGCACACGAAGAGTAACCAGMCCATTTTGCGATTTGGAAAAAAGTCAATTGATCCAATGAGTTATAGTGACCTTATCGATGAGAGATACCTCGACAATTTCACATTGGACATTTGTATTGCAAAGTATATAGAGGAAGCTGAAAAACAAGGTTTATCTGGAACAGT